GAGAACAGCAAGATCACCCTACACCTACAGGTAACCTACGTCATGTGTGTGTGTGTGTGTGTGTGTGTGTGTGTGTGTGTGTGTGTGTGTGTGTGTGTGTGTGTGTGTGTGTGTGTGTGTGTGTCCAGTTGGTGGGGGGCGGTCAGAGAACAGCAAGATCACACTACACCTACAGGTAGCCTACGTCATGTGTGTGTCCAGTCAGCGCCGCTTATTATATTTCATTATTTTTAATTCTTTTTAATTTTTAATTTTTTTTTGTGGGGGGGGGGGGGGTGTCAAGCTTATGGTCAGACACTGAGGGATACAGCTTTCGGTGGGGTGATCGTCTCGGTGTAAAAAATACAATGCTCATGTGTAGGTAAAGGTAAATTATTATAATAATTTTATTGGTGACTTTAATCTGTGTATCGCGCGTTAATATTCCTCCTCAAAAATAGCCCAGGGGTGCTTGTTGGGGGTAAAACTTGCAGATTAAACTAAAGAGACTTATCTATATCATCACTATGATCATAAGGAGTAAGATTTGAAACAGACATCGGTGATCATACTACGCCATTTATTTCTTCGCTATGTTTTCATGACCGTTCGTCATTACCATCTGTTAGTTTGCATGTTCCATGTAGGTCTCTCTCAGTCTACCCCTGCTTCGTTTGCCTTCTAGTTTTTCCAATCCCAAGGCTACAGAATGCCATTTGTTTGATAATTTCCACCGCTCTATCTGTCTCCCCAGGAGATGCGGTCCAAAGGGCAGAGAGCTGACGTCACTGGGCGTGGCCCGACGATGACCACGCCCACACCACGCCCCCAGGCCCGGGGCTCAGGCTCCGCCCACACGGACACCCCGGACTGTCTGCCGGGGGGCAAGGGGGAGTCGGGTGAGTGGATATAGGGGGGGGGAAGAGAGAGAGAGAGAGAGAGAGAGAGAGGGGGGGGAGAGGGAGAGAGAGAGAGAGAGAGAGAGGGGGGGAGAGAGAGAGAGAGAGAGAGAGAGAGAGAGAGAGAGAGAGAGAGAGAGAGAGAGAGAGAGAGTCACTACACTTTTCAGACTGGGTGAACTGGCGTCAGTGGTGCAACAATTGAGCTTCGCAGATGCACACAAAAGACATGAGGTCAGTTTCTGAAAGGGGGATTTCTCCATTCGAACATCTCCGTCTGTTGTATTTCAGTGAACTTATAGCCGTACACTGTTCCTGACGAAACGTAGCCGTCATGATGGTGATAGCCCGTAAGCTGCAAGGTGTACAAATGTTTTGGGAACGGGGGAAGGGTTTCTTTGCCTCTGTTATTTGAGTATGTCTGTCTTAATTAAGCGATTGCTCAAGACTCGTTTGTTTATTTGTTAATTATAGTGCGTTAGTAAGTGTTGATTGTTTTGTTTTTTTAAATTGTTTTAAAAAATGTTTTTATTATGTTTTTGTTTCGGGGGGGGGGGGGGGTTGGGGGGGGGAGGAGGGGTTGCTGTCCTTTCGTGTTTATAGTTAATGTATGGTTGTGAAAGTTCTTGTTTATGTGGTTGGACTGGTTTTTCTTGTTTCTGTGAAATATTTTTTCTTGTGTGAATGATTATGTGATTGATGTAAAGTGTTGAGAGCTTATGCTTGTATGGGATAGAGCGCTATAGAAAGGCAATGTATTATTATTATTATTATTATTATTATTATTATTATTATTATTATTATTATTATTATTATTATTATTTTATTATTATTATTATTATTATTATTATTATTATTATTATTATTATTATTATTTTATTATTATTATTATTATTATTATTATTATTATTATTATTATTATTATTATTATTATTATTATTATTATTATTATTATTATCCTTTCCCAGCAGTGAGAACAACGTCGGTAGTCTACTGGTCTAGCCACTGGACTCATAGTTATCATGACATTGCAGGTTTGGGAGTTTGAGGCTTAGCTCGGTCCGACGTTTTTTCCTTGAGAAAGGCACAGGCATTTGCCTTAACTCGAGCCTTCCCATTTAGCTGGGTTTGATCAAACATGGACGTTTAATTCGCCTCTCAAATAATTTCTCTGTGTTGCAAGGCTGTGGCGTCGGTGGCCTAGTGGTTAGGCTCTCGGACTCGCAACCGTAAGGTCGTGGGTTCGAATCCCGTCAAGGGTCCGACGTTGTGTCCTTGGGAAAGGCACTTTACACGAATTTTCCTCACTTCACCCAGTGGGAATGGGTACCCGGCTATAGACAGCGAAAGATCTTGTCAGTTTGTTAGTGTTTGAGCGCTTAATCAGCTGCTTGCACTGTATGCTTCCCGGGAAGCTGAGAATGTTTCGGAGTGTTCTAATGTCTGCTGGGGTAATAATATAGTGTAAAGCGCATAGAGCCTGCTGCTGAGCGGGGATATGCGCTATACAAATGCTATCTATCTATCTATTATTATTATTATTATTATTGTTATTATTATTATTATTATTATTATTATTATTATTATTATTATTATTATTATTATTATTATTATTATTATTA